TAAATATCCACAGAACCCCAACTACTTTTTTTTGCATCAAGGCACTCACATTGCACATTGCGATATAGTTTATATCGTCAACTAGCTAGTACAGAGTGGATTTCTGTATCACCTCCTTATTGTCATTTACAAACACGTTTAAAAGCAAAGTACCTTGTTTTGAACCATGCGTCACTCCGGTAGGAACCGAAATATATTGAGTCTTTACTCGCACGTGGGAAACGCAGTTTATTCTGCCTCGGAGATAGCCAGAAAACCACGAACGGTAGGAGACACCTAATTTGCGAAGTAGTCATTTGCTTAGTAAGATTTTATGACTGACGCGATTAAAGGCCTTATGGCAATCAAAACAGACTGAATCTGTATTTTCTCCACAGCAGACGCTCGGTGGCACGCCACTCAGGGAAGTGACAATGTTAGTTACAACAGAACGGCCGCTCATAACGTCATGCTGATTCCGAACTATAACGGGCTTGAAGATGATATATATGCAGGTGAAGAACTTTTTTCCAAATACTTTCAAAATTGACGGTAGAAAAGAAATGGGTCTGTCGTCAGCCGCAGAGGTATGGTTTCCAGAATATAGCAAAGGAAAAAAACGCCTTTCTTCCAAGCGCTAAGGAACTCAAATTGTTAAAAGGACAATGTAAATATGTGAACAAGCAAGGGAGCAAAAATATCTGCATAGCCTTTTACAATGAAAGATGGGATACCATCGTGGCCACTAGACTTCTTTTGAGGAAACCTTCTTAATGGCAACTAAAATGTCGTCAATCGTAATAACAGATGGTGCGAAATTATTACAAAATCGTGAAGGGCTGCCACTCAGCTGTTGATTTTTAGGCAACCAATAGACAGACGAAGAATGAGTGTCGAATAAATTGCAGACATCATCGGGTTCAGAAATATATTCTGTATTACCTAGCAAGAGGACATTATGTCCGCTGTGTTTTTGTATAGTGCGGCTGCGCGCGAAGCGTCGGAACTCTTCAGGGTGCCGAGACAAGTTCTGCTGAATAAATGAATTGTGGACCTCTCTCTCACGATTGATCAGAGGTTTGGCCGGTGCTCGGCATTCTCGGTATTTTTTTTTTTTTTTGCACGCAATGCTGGCGTGTGATCCATTTGACACATTCTGTAGATTGAGTTTCTTAAGTAAGACTCGTCTAAGTTTGAAGGAAAAACACGCAAAATATTTTCGACAGTGACATACTTTCCTCGGTATGTAGTGTGTTATGCCCTCTATTGCAATACCAGTTAATTCAAAAACTGCCATATCAACAGAGGCAGTGCTATAAACGCCTTCACAACTGCCAGCCTCCAGAAACTGAGAAAGACGAAGGTAGCAGCCCCTGCATTAGTCGAATTAGTCAAGATCAATCCACTGATCTTTGCCGCACATGTCTACAAATATTTATATTAACATCAAACGGTACAAGACAAATATCAATGGAAACAACGGGTTCAGTGACTGGCACAATTGAATATTCGTACATGTTAGTAAAAATACGTCCAATACATTACCGCACGCGTTTAACGGTAAATTGCCCAGCTGTAAACTTTGAAACTGAATAAGCTCACGAGGTGCAACGCCTAGCTTGGTCTGTTTTATTTTTCCTCCAGGTGACAGTAATATTAAAATCCCCAAAAAGAAGGATTTTGTATTTTTAGGATCAAGCTTGCTCGATGATTCAATAATCGCGCGTATATTATTTTATACCCGGGATTATCAGCTAAAATAGACTAAAACCATATGCATATCTTCGGCTATAGCGACAGAGGGGAAGTTAGCTAATCAATTAAGTGAGATATCGGGCAGGGAGGTGTTGATGGGTTCAATTACCCGCTGCAATGCTTCCCCTTGTCGCCCGACTGGGGTGCCCGCCCCACGTCCAAAGCGTGACGCTGTCGGCATATAGGCTGGATCCCAAGCATTCGACTTCCTTCATCTGGCATCACTTGGCCAAATTACGAAACGTTGAACAATTCCTTTTTCGTATCCCGTTAGGGGTACCGGAAAGTGGATGCTGCAGTTTCCGGTTGCTCTCAGTGAGCGGCGGTCAGAGTCCAAACAATCCAAACAGGTGCTGGAGTTACGTCTGGCAACCCGGCACTTTGTAAGAACCAACCTCAATTCGGGTAATGCAGTCGCCTTACCTTGACTTTCGATAAATGCCGACCTCGCTCTGACCAAGTCTGTCTCGTCTGAAGATTCATAGCGCTGCAGGCTCCACGTGAAATAGCGTGGAAGCACCTGTTGGAAGACGCAGGTAGGCCTGCGTGCCCAAAAAGAGGACTTACTAAAACGGGACCTCAGAACACCGCAATGCTGTCATGGACACCTTTATCAAATATTTCTGTAAATCGAATATTTGCGTGCAGAATTTAGGAAATATTATTTATTCTTCACATTCCTGATTATCCATATTGTACAAAAGTAGCTAATGAGCCAGTAGAAGTAAACTATTTGTTAAATTAGAACATAATATCAATCAATGAATTAACGTCTTTTCTTCCAACGCTTAGTGTTTACTATGATTTTCAAGTCTGAATAAAAAACTATGCAATGTCATAAAGAGCTTTAAAGTAAACTTGGTTTTTTCGTTCTTATTGACTTATCTGCGCATGTTCAGTAATGACCGAGTTATTCATGAGCAGAAATAGCTTTATTTTCAAAATGGAAAAGAACTAAGCTTTTATATTATTGCAGGGGTGTAGCTCCGGACATGATATATTTTGCACATAAAATATTGACTTAATTTCTACTAGTAATGCAGGGAGTCCGCTAGCCGTAACACGCGCAATGTCTTCACTTCCGGCTACAATCGTCAAAAAAAAGGCGCTTCATAAACTGCCGCGCAAGGTTTGAAACAGCTGGGGAGAAGATGTGAATAAAAAATAGGACCTGGGAAATAAGAAAGATAACGAATGGGGATGGCAGGAAGGGTAGATCGAGTAACACCTTTTGGCGGGCTACTCGGTTCCTATCTAGGCAAATAAATAAACAGCGCAACGGACAAAGACTAAGGCAGAAACAAGTACGACCCATGGAGCGCACGCTCTGTCCTAGCCTTTTGCCCAGTTTATTTAGTTCCCTATGGTATATCAATTTTCAAATGTTGAATCAAACTGTGAAATATTCTTTGGAATGACATCAAAGCATTGTTTTTCGCAAATTTCAGACACATGTGTTGATGCTTGTTGGTAGCGTTAGTCTCCCATCCTCGCTGGCTGTCATAAGGGCTGCGGGTGTACAATCTCGACAGCCGCAACCTCCGACCCATTTGTAAAGCGTACGATGACTGCTTGTCTTGGAATGCTCTTCTCTATACACAACCCCATGGGCATCTTTAGCGCGTCAACCTCGTCAGGAGATCTACTTGTTTTTGCGTATATCGACCACCCATTGTGGAGGAAAACTACTGCCGAAAACCAGACAATGGATATCTCTCCTTGCCGACAAGGGAGTTGGAGAATAGTTTGTTTGGTGGTCAAAACACCCGACTGAACACATGAATATTATGGTACGGGACTAGGAGAAAAATATTATGCGTGCAGTGACGCTGGAAACCTTCCGTAGCGGTGCTCTTGAGAGAAGCTACTTGATGCGGGCATGCGCTTGGTGCCTTCTGATAGAAGGCAGCCGCTCACTTATATTACTACTAGTAACGTCCCATTTACTTGAGTACAACTGATAAAAACACAATATTGATGGTGATTGCAGAAAGGCGAAAGCCACAATTATTTTCCCTGTCAGTCTTCAAAGGGGATTGTAACGCTATTGTAAATCAACAATATTAAGAAAAAGGAAAAAGAAAACAGAAGCAAAAAAAGAAAAAAAAAACAGGACTGACATTTTTCGACGTTCAAGCCTGCGTCTTATAATACATATTTTTTTTAGAAGTTTAGATAGAACCTAGATGTCAAATGCGTTTTCTTTCTTTGAGGCGTGTCGTGATCACCGTGACTGGCCGAACCGCTTTCACACAGTCACAGAGAACTAACTAATTATCTACATGACCCCTGCGGAATCACCTTGTTTCCTTGACTCTGCTGTCAGAGCAGAGTTCGCGGAAGACAAAAACCGCACGCCTAAGCCCCGCGTAACTCAACCTGTCAACGTAACAAAGCGGACCAAGCATTCCCTCCCTCCCCACATACACACACACGCAGCCGGTGCTCCAAGTGGCGTGAAAGGGGCGAGTGGGTCAGTCGAGCAGTGGCAGCAGCGCGGCACCGTGGTCGCGTCTCCTAGCAACGGACTCCTAACATACGGCCCCTCGGACACGGCACACTGACGGCGGGGCCGAACTCCCCGCCACGGCAGTCGCGGCCCACTGAGCGGACACCGGCCGCCAAACACCGTCGTTCTGTCCATGCGGTCGCGCGGGAAGTCGCTCGGCTGACCTCGTGACAACACACGGAAAGCCAGCGGCGATGTTCGGACTCTTCGTGTGACGTCAGCCCCTCGCCCGGGCGTTCTCCAAGAGCTTCGAAGCGGTGTGACAAGTTGGGGTCAACACGGGTTTTGTTGTTACACTCTTGCGAACCACCGGTAGCATCTTGCAGTAGCGTGTCCTGAGTTTGATAGACGTTCAAGTGCTGTGATATTGGGACGTGTGTTTGTTGGAAACGTAAGGTCACCGAAAATTCGAAACCCACTGTGGAAGACGTTTCATGAAGACCGGCCACGCGGAGCACATTGATGCCATGTGACAGTTCGTGGCAACAGGCGACGTCTTGGGAGACATTGTGGCGTCTCGATTAATCCCGCCCAACCAACTTGCTAAAAACGTTTGGATATCACTTGTCGCTCTTGGCGACGTGGTTGCATCTTCGTCGGTGACTGCTTACAAAGGGTGGGAGCCGAAATAGGGTTCTGGAAGTCGGCCAGTGCTCAAGGATTGTACCAGGGCCAGGAGTCAGCTGGGCGCTGGCCGGTGCGCGGTAACCGCGCGGGCCGTGCCTGGTCGCCCCAGTGAAAGCCCGAGGGGACGGACATGCCCCAGGAAGAGAACGTCAGGGTGGCGGTCCGGGTCAGGCCATTCATATCCTTTTTGGTCACCGAGTGCGCGGATTGTGCTCCGTATACTTACTTACGGAAGCAACAGGCAAGTACTCTAAACAAAGCTTATCGTTCCCTATTTCTTTATTGCGAAAGTGAAACCTTAGATTGGGTGAACGAGTTTCTATACGAATTAGAATTAGGCCGTTGTGTACTATTGTGACATGTTAGTCCGGCCTAGATGGGCAGTGCAGTAAGACTACTAAGCTATTTGAAGGTGCATCACGAATTATAAAGTATGCTACTTTCTTCTAAGCAAAAAGGGAACGGAGTTGAAATCCTTAGGTGAGCGATGCAACCAACTATGAATTTACTGTTTTTGGCAATATACTACCATTAGAGCCAGCTCTGCGTAAGGATGTGCTCAAATTATATGCCAGCGTGATTAGCTGGGCAGTGTTAAATAAATTCGCCTTTAAGATTTGGCAGTGCTGGTAAAACATTGTGTAAAGGCAACGGATATAGTCGAGTGTACGGCTGTTAAATGACAATGTTGAACAAATCACGCATTGGTACATATACCACGGAACTCCGGTGCAGTTACTGTTCTTATTAAAGCCACCAGGAACTTGTATTTGAAGAGAGAAATCTATGGCCCTTCAGGAAATATGTGTGTATGCATGTTTATATTGCGAAAATTGTAGGTAAACAAACCAATTTTCAATGAGAAACAGCGCGAAAGATCGTTTGAACCTTTAACGGCAGAAGAGTTTTGTTCCGAGATATAATATAGTCCAACATAGTCCAACTTTGTGCGCCGTTTATTTATTGGCTACCAAGAGCGAGCAGTACAGCTGAAAGTATGCTACAAAAGAAGCAATCCCTTAAAGGCATCATTTGGTAGTCATTTTGTGTTCCCGAAATTAGCTCTGAATAAGTAAACCAAATTACAAGTCACAAATGTTTCGGCAAAGTTATTAAATTTTTAACTTTTTTTACAGTTTTAGAGGCTCTATCGTCTACATTGAAAGCGTGATGTAAAATTCTTTAATATGGGGAAGGTGCACCTTGTTCCCGACGGTTTACAAGAAGTTTATCGGTGTTAAATAAATGCCCGAAAAACTCACCAGAAATGCGAGAGAAAACAAACGCGCAAAATACTGTTCTTTTTAGACTTCTTGACTTACACGTTTTACGACATGTGAAATCACCACGCACTCGAAAGCGAGAGAAAAAATAAATGTTGGTTTCGACATAACTTCCATTTAATATTTTTTATTAGCTATTTTGAATTCGGAGACAATAATTAGCTCATGGGGAAGGGTAGAAGATGGGTATGCGGAAAGAAGTTTAGCTTGGGTAGCTAAAAAAAAATCGCCGGAGCTCGCTTTTAAACGTTCCCTGATGATTCAAGACTGGGAAACACAAAAGTGAAAATAAACACCCTACGCAAGTCTGAATATTTTTTTTTACCTATTCTCTTCTCAGGTTATGTTTTTGCTTCTAGTGGCTAGATAGTTCGGAGATTGAGCCCTGTGGTGTTGATTCAAGACGAGTAATAACGCCAAGTCGGAACGGCTACATCGGCTATGCTCCCACTCTTGAAAATCTTACAAGTGTTAGTTCTATTGATTCGTGCGATTTCTGGTGGAACAATCTCTAACTGACAGGTGATCAATTTTTCCCTTTTTGTGTCAAAGGGCGACACTGACAAACCTCCGCACAATGTGTCAAAATGGTGCGGCAATAATACAACTAGAAAGCAGAATCACGCACAAAAACCTTCGTCTCAAGAAACAAAGAGCATCGCTTTTCCTTGTTTCAGTGAGTTCAGCCAATCTTTACCCGCATTGAAGCCAATAGACCGGAAACAATCGTTTCCGGGTAAGCAGAAATATCTGTCTGAAAAAAAAAAAAAAAACGTGAACCTTAAATGCTGTGTTTAAGTTCCGCTCCAACTGCACTCTGGCGTAAGAATGAAATGCGAAGAGCGGAACGCATTCATTGCCTTTGATACCTGCTTCACAACCTAGAGGCAATCAGGAACCGGTAAATTTGGGGAGCTGAGAAGAAACTACGAGGGTACATCTGCACAGTGGAGCAGGCGCGTAGACTAGTATCGCCGTTTCCACTTCGTTTGTTTTATCAGTTTTTGTTGCCTTCCATTCCGAAAAGCTAAGTATAACTTTTCAGTATCTAAAGTATGGAACAAGAAATCTAACTGGAATTGTTTCTGGAAACCTGAAATCCAGATTGCAGACAAAAAATAATTTCTAACAACCTGAAGTCCAGTTAGACTTCAGAAAGATTCTATATAAATTTCTAGCTAGATAATCCAGATAGCGAAGAGTTATACTGCCTTCTTCGGTAAGGTATATTCAGCGCAGCCTGTATCATAGGTCACGCACTCCGCTTTTCGCATTTCATTCGTACTCGATAATACATCATCCTATGTGTTAGGTTCATCCCAATTGTCTGCAAACAGGATTTCGGGTTTTCAGTAAGAAATCCAGGTAATATTTTGGTCCATAATCCAGTTAGCGAAAAGTTATACTGTTTTTGTTTCCGTAGGAATATCAACTATAATGTTTAGTTTTTTGTATAGCATACCGTAGGTTATAGTAAAGTGGTGATTTGAGCTAGTTGGTGCATCACTAATATTAAACAGCACACAAAACGTCGGCGGAAGAGAAAAGGGCAGTAGAACGAAAGAGCGCTGACTCCCAACTGATTTATTTAGAAGGAAGTGGAAAGGAGGAAAACGAAGCCAAGAAAATTGAACCCCACGTGAAGACAAGACAAGATAAAAGAAAAAAGAAAAAAAGGAAGTACAGACTAGATCGATAGATTTAAGAAAAAAATAAAGGAGAAATTGAAAAAAAGGAAAAAGAAGAGCAATAGATGGAAAAATTAGAAAACGGTACTTTCACCCTTGGCCTGCCGATGTTACTGCGCATAGGCGTTGGCCAAAAAGGACGCCTCCTTAGCAATATGGGAGGTTATTTTTTTGTAAATCCACCTTCCATATATTTAAGACACTTCCATTAAATTTTGAATCCCACTGCACTAGTAAATATTGTTTATGTTCTGTCTTCCTGTACTTTGATGTTAAAACATTGCTTCGTTTTTTTATGTTGCCAATTTATTTATATGTTCATTATTAACAACGAGTTTCTAAAAACATTTGTTTTCTAGCCAGATTAAGGCATGAAGCCAAAAATTCAAGACTTTCACATTCCATTTGGTGCAGTAGTTTCTTTTTAAGTTAATAATTGTGTATGGGGTATTAACTCAACTTGAAGCGATGCAGGACTTGCAGATAAATCTCCTTTCAAGCACCATTGATGTAATCAAAGCCGCAATTCGCAGAGTCGTCTGCAGCGTGTGCCTTCAAAAACAAGCCGAAGGAGGGGGGGGATAAATCATCATCATCATCATTTATTTTCCTTGAGGGCCCGTGGGGCATTATACAAGGGGGTGGCAATAGAACAAAAACAAATAGAACAGTAAACACAATTATAACACTGTAAGCTAGCTAGGTAGGTTAGATAAAGAGAGGGTAATGGCTTCAACAAATTTAGTAGTATCATTAATAGAAACGATGCTATGAGGTAGTGAATTCCAATCCTCGACGGCCAATGGTAGTGTGGAAGTCTGGTGAGAAACAGTTGATGATCGAATTGGACGTAATTTACATAGGTGATCTAGACGCGGGAAAATACGATGGGGAGGTGATAGCAGTGATTCTTTGAGGTGGCTATTGTGATAAAAAATTCGATGGAGGAGAGAAAGGCGTGATACTCCGTGGCGAAGGGGAAGTGAATGAAGGTTAGCTGATTGGCGTAATCCTGATACGCTGGTATATGGTGAGTAGTTGTTATAAACAAAACGAAGGGCTCTGTTTTGGACGGATTCTAGATTATTTGCAAGGTAGGACTGCCATGGGGACCATATAGATGAGGCGTATTCTAATTTCGATCTTATAAGAGTAGTATACGCTAGTCGTTTTACGGAGGGTGTAGCAAGTTTAAGGTTACGGCGCAAGTATCCGAGAGAACGGTTAGTATCAGAAATAACAGAAGTTATGTGAGTAGTCCATGATAGGTTAGAGGTGAGATGAACACCCAGGTACTTATAAGATGAGCATGCTATTACTTGAGTGTTAGAGAGGTAATACGAAAATGGTGTGGCAGGCGAACTGCAGGAAAATGATAGGGATCTACATTTATTGAAGTTTAATGTCATCTGCCATTTTTCACACCAATGGATTACAGACTCTAGGTCTTCCTGGAGAGCATGATGATCTGATGATCATGGTATGAAAGAATGGGTCGGTAAATGACAGAATCGTCGGCGAACAGGCGCACAGAAGAAGCGATATTAAGGTGGAGATCATTAATATAGATTAGGAACAGAAGGGGGCCCAGTACGGTTCCCTGGGGGACACCTGATGTTACGGTAGAGGTGGGAGATTTTACGTTGTTAACGGAGGAATATTGCTTACGGTTAATTAGGAATTCAGAAATTCACTTAACAACAGAGGGATGAATATTAATATCGTTAAGCTTTGTTAAAAGACGTTGGTGGGGTACTTTATCGAATGCTTTGGAGAAGTCAATGAAAATGGCGTCGGTCTGAATATTTGAATCAAAGCTTGAGTAGATACCAGTAAGGAAGGCGGTTAGCTGGGTTTCACAAGAGTAAGATTTACGAAATCCGTGCAGATGTTCAAAAAGAAGGTTATGAGAGTCAAGAAAGTTTATTATATTTGAGTAAAGTATATCCTCCATGAGCTTAGATGGAACACTGGTGAGAGAGATAGGACGGTAATTACTTATTAGTTGGCGATCACCAGTTTTGTGAACAGGTATTACGTTAGCTATTTTCCAGTCACGTGGAACTATGGAAATGCCCGCTACTATGCATTGATTTCGTACCAGTCCTCATACATGATCAGAACAAGAAAAATATTGAACAAACAATAATCGGTTGTTGCGCCGAGTCGCTCCTGCAAATCCCCCTGAGCGTCATTAACGGATGCGA